AAATTTAGAAACTGTTGCAGCTGTTGTATTTTTGCTGCTTCTGGTATTTTCGCATCTGCAGTTTGGGGGCCGCAGACGCGGATTTTGGCTTTTCCTTCAGGTTCCGCAGATGCGGAACACATCTACGAAAGTGTAATCGCAGATGCGTTTCTGGTATTTAAATGAAAGTCGCAGATGCGACGAAGTTTCCGCAGATGCGGTCCCAGGGTCCAAATGCGGAAATCGCTGGGCAGAACATATAAATAGTTACCTTCGTGAATTTGAGCTACTCTTTAACCATTTTCATCCGGGTTTGAAGCTTTTGAGAGAGATTTTTGAGGAAAACAAAGGGGAATCGCTTGGAGATAACATCCTTGACTTCATAACTCATTTTTATGTGATTAAAGACTTAATTAGTGGTGAAACATTTGGGAAAAATGGGTAATTAGGGCTTGAGTTTAAGAGACATTTGAATGAGGATTTGTGGGGACATTTGGACTCTGACTTTAGGGTTCTTGTTATGTATAGACTCGTGAGAGTACGAGGTTTTTGAAAATATAAATTTCACCCAATTCCGAGATGTGGGCTCGAGGGGCGTTTTGGTCATTTTTACAAATTTCGCGTATTAGCTTAGACTTTAATTGTACAATCAGTACTTGAACTGTTATTTATATTATGCGATTGAATTGAATAGATTTGGGTCATTTGGAGTCGAGTACTCATGGCAAGAGCGTAGTTTCGGGTTGACTTTGAGTCAGTTCGAGGTAAGTGGCTTGTCTACCTTGTGTGGGGGACCTTCCCCTTAGGATATGATATATTTGAAAATTGAAATGCCTTGTACGTGAGGTGACGAGTGCGTACTTGAGCTAATTGTTTAAATTCGGTTTTTCCTTAAGTATTTCAATTGAGTTCTTTTTTCCTGTTTTATTCTACTTGTGAATTTAGCTTGTTGCTAGTTTAGAAAAGCATGTTTAGTTGACTTAATTGCCTATTTGCTTAAACTCCCTTAATTGCATTACGTGAAGCATGTTAGGCTAGAATTAACTGTTTACTTGGTACGAAATTTAGCTTAATTGGGTATTCTTGTGTTGCTGCTGTGTGTTTTTACTTTGGGACTACGGGACAGCATCCTGGGAGATCCCCTGTACGTATTTATGATCTGAACTGAGGTGTGGGATACCAAGATATCCCTGGCACGTATATGGAGGATACCAATAGATCCTCGGGATACCAAGAGATCCCTAGCATATATTGAGGATACCAAGAGATCCTCGGGATACCGAGAGATCCCTAGCATATATTGAGGATACCAAGAGATCCTCGTGGTACCAAGAGATCCCTATCATATATTGAGGATACCAAGAGATCCTTGGGATACCAAGAGATCCCCGGTTATCATTCTTGTTATGAGTGGTACTTCCTTGTGGTTTGCCTTCATCTTTGTTTTCGTTATTGTACTCTTATTATCTTGTGTAGATTCTTATTGTAGATTCTCAATTGTACTACTTATCTTATCTTGTCATCTTTATATTTATTTAATCTCAGTAGGGCCCTGACTTTCCTCGTCACTACCCAACCGAGGTTAGGCTTGACATTTACTGAGTACCACTGTGGTGTACTCATGCCTCTTCTGCACATGTTTTTCATGTGCAGATCCAGGTACTTCTAGTCAGGCCTACCATCCTTGAGGGAGGCGATTACTTAGAGACTTCGAGTACATCTGCTGCGTCCGCAGACCGAGGAGTCCTTTTCTATTCCTGTCTTTTAGTATTTAACCCTCCTGTACTTTCTATTCTTATTAGACAAATTCCGGAGTTAGAGCTATGTAGTATTTCCTTTTCTTAGATTGTGATTCGTGGGTTTCCGGGTCTTGTATTTGGATATTGGTTTTGAGATTTATATATGGTGTATGTCGAGCGGCACATTTAAACACTGTTTTTGCCTTATTTTTGTTTTAAAATTATTTACTTCCGCATGTTTTGGTTATCTTCCGCAATTTAGGCTTACCTAGTCGTTGAGACTAGATGCCGTCACGATAGTTCACGGAGAACGAACCGGGGTCGTGGCATCATTTTTAGTTTTAGCCTTCATTCTGTGTTTCGATACCTCAAATAGTTCCATTTAGCCCTCTTCAATTTACGTGCACAGTCCATGTCTTTTCCGAAAAACTTTTGTATGAAAATTTTATGAAAATGTGAATTTTAACTTTAAAATGATTTGAGTTGACTACGGTTAATATTTTGCATAAAAAACCTGGATCAGTGTACTGACGGTTTCGGTGGTTCCGTCGTGATTTGGGACTTGGGTGTATGCTCGGAATCGAATTTAGAAGTATGTAACTTGGTTTAACGTGATTTGTTGAAAACTAGTAATTTGAAAGTTTAAAGAATTTCTAAGTTTGATTGTAGGTTGACTTTGTTGCTACCAGGTTTGAATTTCGGTTCCGGAGCTTGGTATAAGTTCATTTCACTATTTATGACCTGTCTGCAAAATTGGTGCAAAACGGAGTTGATTTGACATGATTCGGGCATCTGATTGTAAAATTGAAAGTTCTTAAGCTTCTTTGAAAATTTCATTCGTTTTCTAGGTGTTATCTTGGTGTTTTGATCGTGCAAGCAAGTTCGTATGATGTTATTACACCTTTTTGCATGTTTATTTTGGAGTCCGAGGGGCTCGGGTATGTTTCGGATAGGTTACAGAGTGATTTTGGACTTAAAATCTGCTGGTTTTGTTGTTGCTGGTGTCACCTTTTGTGCTTCGCGATCGCGAAGGTACTCTCACGATCATGAAGGGAAAACTGGGCTGGAGAGGAAATTACTCATCGTGACCGCGAGGAGTTGGTCGCGAACGCGGAATAGTAGGGGGTCTACCCTTCGCGAACGCGTAGTGTTAGGAGGGGGACTGGGAAATTGAACTTTTACTCTACGCGAACGCGAGCCCAGGCTCGTGAACACGAAGGCAATGAGGGCTAAGCCTACGCGAATGCGGAGAGTGGATTGTGATTGCGATGGCCAATTGGGCAATACTCTTCACGAATACGTTAGGTGCTTCGCGAACACGATGAACACCTGATGCCCAGTCTTTTAAACTTCTAGAAATCTTGGATTTTCTTCCATTTTCACCATCTCCACATAAGAGATAGTCCTAGAGGTGATTTTGAAGAAGAATTTCATCCCCACTTCATAGGTTAGTATATTTTAACTCGTTTTCTTCCATTTCCATCAACATAGATTGATTCATAACCTTAATCTATGCTCTTTCATGGTAGAAAATTAGGAATTTGGGTAGAATTGAATTTTTTTTGTAAAATTGAGATTTAGACCTCAAATTGAGGTCGGATTTCGAAACTAATTACATAATCGGGCTTGGGGATGAATGAGTAATTGGATTTTAGTCTGAGTTTCGAGTTTTGACCAAGCGGACCCGGGGTTGACTTTTCTTGACTTTTTTTTGAAATCATTAAAGATTGAATCATTTTCACTCCTGGGTAGTTTCTAAAGCTTATTTTGAGTTGTTTGAACGATAATTGGTTAGATTCGATTAGTTTGGAGGCGAATTTTAGAGGAAAGACCCCCATTGAGCTTTGATTTGATTACGGAGTAAAGTAAGTATCGTTATTAACCTTGACTTGAGGGATTAGGGCTTGTTTGCCTATTTGCTACTTATTTAATGTGTGGGTACAATGTATATGTGAGGTGATAAGTACTTATGTGTCATTGTTGGGTTAAAGCATGATGACGAAACTTGTTTTCTTGTGATTTATTGCATTTTTAATTATGATATATATGCTTAGGTTAGGTTATTACTTCTTTGATTATTCTTTCCGTGTTTATATCTTATTTAGTAATTTTGGATTATTTCGGAAGTTGAAGTTTGATATCTTGGCATCATATTTGAGGTTAAGTACATTCTCCACATTATTTATTTTTCCAAATTCAAATTATCTTCATTTCATGGTAAGGAAGAGTGTAAAAGCCCGAAGGGTGATACCGGGCTATTGCATCTATCTCATTTATTGATTAATACATAGTGAGGAAGAGGGTAAAAGCACGAAGGGTGATGTCATGCCACTTATCTCATTTATTCATTATCATATGGTGAGGAAGAGAGTAAAAGCACGAAGGGTGATGTTGTGCCATTCATCTCATTTATTCATTGTTACATGGTGAGGTTGAGAGTAAAAGCAAGAAGGGTGATGTGGTACCATTTTCATATCATTGGTTATCTGATTTCATTGGTTGAAGATTTATTTGACTATTACGTGATTTCATACCTGTCTTTGTTATCACATCTTTCACCTTTTGCATGCCTCCCCCCCAATTGCTATTCTTTGTTATTGTTACTACTTCATATATATACTTGTAAAGGTTTATTTACGTAGGTATTCTGGCATAGCCTCGTCACTGGGTCGGTTGTACTCATACTATGTGTATGCACTTCTTGTGCAGATTCTGGTATTGGTCTCAGCAATGCGTGAGGTGCGTCAGCTCGGATCATTACATACAGAGACTTGAGCTAGATTTGTTGTCGTCCATACACCTTGAAGTCTCCTTCCTCTTCCCTCTTTTACTGTTCATTTCCTTCAAAACAGTTGTATTCATTTCAAACTCTGTTTGTAGAACTTCTAGTTACTCATGTACTCGTGACTCCGGATCTTTGGGAGTAGATATTATCACATAACTTATGTTGGTACTGTATTAGATTGGGTTTCCACTTCTCGTTATTTATCATCATATTGTTTAAATTGTTAAAAATTAACTATTTAATTATATCACGTCAGTTTGCTTGAAAATTGGATGTTAAATGCCATCACGAGCCCAAGGTTGGAATTCCGGGTCATGACAGAATGCCACTTAATAAAGAATTTTGGAAGCACTATGTTAATGATTGATACTTACATCTTGTGGCCAAGAGTTAAAACCTTGGCTCTCAATAATGGTGGTTCTCGAGTACAAACAAAATTGAATTACAAAATTAACAAAAAAATATTTAAAATACCTGAAAAGGAGAAGAAAATGAGATGAATGAACTGCAATATAAACTTTTGAAAGGAAAAGAAAGAATTTTGCAGCTGCCTGTCACTACTTTATGCAGCAGAGCTTTTTCTAATCTACAGTTCTGAATAAATTGTATTTCTATCTCTGAAGTCCGCCATATGATCTATTCACAAGAACTCCGAGATTCAGACCTCTTTAGGCAGCTTGTGGCCTGGTAAGATCAAATAAATTCCACTTCATGACAAATGGCATATCGCAATGGAAACTTCTGTGACACTTCTAACATGTCATGTTTTTTCCTCTTTTCTAGTGGATTTTAGGAGAGTAAGGCCATGTTAAAAAGACTGGACAATCAGAGGATTGGTGAAAGTGCTCATCTCCAGAAAAATCACTTTCTCGTGAATGGTTTTTGGCATACATGTAACCGCTGTTCGCTTCCATTCTGCAGGTCAATCACCCTAGTTTCCCAGTGAATTTGTGTGGCTAACATGCGTGCTTTCTCTATGGAGCCCAATGTGTCAGAAAGAATAATCCAACCCTATCAAGATTCATATTCAAGTGTCATAATATGTATAAACTGCAATGCATCATGGAAACATAAAGAGTAACACCAGAAGGTGTTGAGTCAACTAGAGCAGGAAAAATAAAGTGTAACCGAGATTAACAAGGAGAACGATAAAGAAAGAGTAAGCTGGAAGATTTTAAAGAGCATAAGAATGAAATACAATATAACCTCGGGTCGCAAAATACGATCCATCTCAAGAAGTAGTTCAAGCATACTGCAACCTTGTGAAGCAATGCGCGAAAGGAGGCCATTCGCGTGGAGCAGATCATATGTTCGTGGATATGTAGGAAAGGGTTCACACCTGCCCAATTTCAAAAGTTCTGTTATCAGTACATCACCAGAATCCTTCAAGCATTTAACTTTAAAAGCAATTGCTGAGGTTATGGTCACTCAAACAACTAAGCCTCATTTTTAAATTAATAGACGTCACCTATATGAATCTTCTCTATCCATTCTCTCTGCTCACGCCTGTTTCATTCCATTACTAAATAACTTGTCTTTAGTATTACCGTATAGTAAGAAGCTACTAAGCTCGTATTAATGCATGAAAAATCAAGGGAAAAGCAAGAAATAAGTACCAACAGATATCCTTTTGAAGAGAACAAATACAAGCCTCAAATTTCTCTGGCTCTACCTTTTGTCTTTAAGTTTATCTTCACACATGCAACATAACTGATGGCTTTTCTGGAGTAGAACATCAAGCTATAGAAATTTTTTTTTTTTTTTTGAGAAATAACTGCAATCATAATTATGAAGTCACTAATTCTACAGATGCCAAAAGATTTTAAATCACATGAAGTACCAGGATTATGAGATGGTTTTACAACCCTTCTCACTGGTTAAGGGTAATAATATTGAGATAACAAAAATTCTTCCTAACATCTATCGTCTTGACCTCCCATTTTAGTTACCAAAGCACGTTGTGCTTTATAATACCATCAATCATCAATTCAAAGGATGGAGATGTAAGCAAACTGAAAATACAATAATTCATGCAACTTGAACAAGAAGAAATTACGATACGTAAAGAACAAGAATTTGGAACAGGGGTTACATTACAGCATCGTAAACCCACTTAAATATTCTACATATTATGTATGTGATTTGCAAACAGATGCATAACGAAAAATATATCATTGTTATTTATTTGGAGAATATGCGTAATTTTCTTCCACTGTAATGATCTGACCGAAAAGCTGATTGATAAGAAAATACACCAGAATTTTTCACTATCAATTAAGAAAAGGTAGAGGAAATATATGTATTGCCCCATTTTAGTTGAATTATTGCATATATGTCTAGCAAGTCTTAAAAATATAAAAGACAATGGCTTTACCAGTCATGCAGAATACCAGCAAAGCCTCGATCAAGTATGAGAGGAAGTGTATTATGCTCCCCAAGAGGCACAACATTCATCACCCATACTGATTTACTTGCCTCCAACAACGCAGCACTTAAACCCCCATAATGTGCATTCATGTCCATGACATTCCGCACCATATTATATGGAGGCAATGGATCCTCTTCTCCTGGCCTCTTTGGATGATCAGAGAATATCAAGGGCGACAGCAAAGACCAATAATTTCTCAAAGCTGATTTCCATAATTCTGAATCCTCAAAGAAATCATCAGGATGGACTCCTGACCAAAGAGCAAAACACAGGCAATGAGTGATTGCTACAAGAAAGTGTACCAATAGCCAAAAGTGGGAGAATGGAAAGGAAAAAAAAAAGTGGCACAAACATTTTAAACATAAATGAAAATACTTGCCATGAATTTCAATATCAGTTGAGTTCAGAGGACCAGATCTTTCGTGAATTGGAACCCACCGGTTACTGCCTGTCCCAGATATACAGCGTGCAAGTGGTTGGTAGTACAGTTGCATGTCCCCTTCTTTACAAATAGGTATATCAAACTGCTTGCTACACCAAAATGTAAAAGATCACTATTGGAGGTTAAGAGGAAGAAATAATGNGTTTGTTTATAGGAAAATTCTTGTATCTGCTTTGCAAAAAAGACTGGCAGGAGTTGGGAAGAAAAAGCATTTTTTCCTAAGATCATATATTCTAATAGGTATTTTGTTTACTGATTCAAGCTCTGCAAGGGATAGTGCCTTTTCATCTCGATTACTATTCTTGACATAGACTTTTTGAGTTAAATAAACTGAAAGAAAAAACAGCTTCAATGAAGCTACGAACAGAATTTAGAGGGAGGAGTACATGACCTCCTCAGGTTAGTGCTCTCATTGGCCTTACCTAGCTATGTAGCATTGAGAATTTACTGTCTTCTGCCAGATGAAAGTCTCTTCTTGCTGCCCCAAAAGAGACCAACAAAGCTTTTTAGTGAACTCTTCCAATGGAGTATACATGCTTCCCGTCTTTGCACTAGTAGAACTACCCTGCTGCTGCCGGGTTGTGGGTGAGGTTAGAACAAAGTAACCTCCAGGCTTGAGTACGCGGTCTATGTCAATTAAAAATAGTCCATCTGTTTTGTCATATCACTATTAGTTTCATTATGTCAATTAAAAATAGTCCATCTGTTTTGTCATATCACTATTAGTTTCATTATGTCAATTAAAAATAGTCCATCTGTTTTGTCATATCACTATTAGTTTCATTATGTCAATTAAAAATAGTCCATCTGTTTTGTCATATCACTATTAGTTTCATGCTATTGAATTCATGTTCTTGAATTAACAGAAGCTCAGACATAACACAATGAGAGTTGTTGAGGGATCCAAAAAGAATAACCAGTCTAATCTTTTTCCTTGACAGGATAGAAAACAAAATTCAACCAGCACCATCCTACAGTGCATCCAATATTAGGAATGGTGAAGGTGTTCCTAAACGGGAAGATCTATTTAAGCTCCAACCTAGTAATAAAGGTTAATCATCCACATCCAAGAGGTGGTTTTACCTTCAGGGCAGCTGCAATTGACAATTCTGCTTTGGAGGGATCAAGCTCATGGCAGAATTTTGAAACAAAAGGATAATAACAATCACCAAATAGAATTGAGCCATATAGGTAGTATCACCTAACTTGTTAACTGTTATATTTGAAAAGAAAAAAGAAAAAAACGAGATGGTTCAATATTAATACGAGGTTTATTTTAAAATAGGCAGCTTAGCGGATGAAAACTCGACTGGAAATAACCTACAAACTAGAGTGAAAATCAAAGTTAGTTGCAAGTACCTAATGAAACAAATGATAGATCAATCAATACATAACCAGCCTGCAGACAGGATAAGTACACATACAAAAGATGATGAGAAAACAGCTGGCAACCCACAGTTTCTCAAAATAAACAGCAAAGAAAATACCTTTGCTGTCCCAAACGATTTCACACTGAGCACAGTGAACCATATCATAAGACAATGATGGAAATGGAAGCTGCTTCGAAATAAAGTTGCCTATGACTGCCGGAAGTCCTCTCTCAAGTGCTAACTGAACTTGACTACCAGATGACTCATATGCTGACACGCAAAGAGCCATCAACTTCAGCGAGAGAAGATGAGCACCGAAGCTACCAAAGCCACAACCAATATCTAGTACAGTGTGCACCTGTTATTCAAATTTCAAACGAGAAGAAAACTCTTACATTCTAAAAGTGAAAGAATGGTTCCACACCCTAGTTCCAATAATATGAAACGAACATGCATACTAGGAGCATATGAGTTGATTCTTAAGAAACCAGCAAGGGAATGAAAAGTAGAAAGCGAGAATATGTTTATGGAAAGAATAACAAAGATTAACTTACACCAGCTTGAAGAAATTCTGCATCACTTTCAAGCCCAATCATCTCAGCAATGCGGTGAGAGTAATCTTTGACACTATCAACCATCATTCCAGCCTCTGAGTGGAAAGCAATTTGGTCCTCTTCCAGTAGCATTAGTCTGGAAAAGGAAAGAGGAAAGCCTATTATAAAGCAGGCAAAATTTTTATCGCAGCATCACCTAGTGGAGGTCAAAGACTTAATACATAGGCTTTCATCCAACTAACATGTAAATACTCAATTTGACCTTTCAAATATTATCTCTGGGAAAGAAAAAGAAAAAAAATCATCCCAAGTTCATTTAATTAACTATACCTTTTTGTCACGCTTCCCGAAGAAAGGAACTGATCTTTGGTTAGCCTCACATTTCCACTCCATATAACGTCCCTACCTGCTGGCCAAGTCAGAGGAATCTTATAGTCCTTAGGAGGACGAACCAAACAATGTGCATATTCGCGTGATAACTCGCAGTGCCGATCAAACTCCTCCCCATCTTTCAATCCAGCTAGCAAATTTGCAGATACATTATAACAAGGCACATAGTTCTCTCTTTCCTTGCCACAAAAGCCAATGTCCTTTAACTGATTGGCTCCCAGAGACAGGCTCTTTAGCTCTAAATAATCGCTGAGCGCTTGCTCCTTTAACTTCCTATAACTTGTATAAATATCAGGCGTTGCAAAGGAGGTCACAGCGCCAAAGGAACTTGAAGAAGATGATCCTAACAATGCTATTAGCACAAATACACTGACAAGACAAAAGAGTAACCAGTTCAGCGGCGGTCTGTGGCCGAAAAGTAGTTTAGTGAGCAAAGGACTTCTCATGTCCAAGTTTCCGGCAAAACCACCTTAAAAGCAATTATTGAGAAGATCAATAAGTGCTGGTTACTCTTAAAACTTAAATCTCCAAAAAAATATGAAAGCTATAACCTATCATTAGGTAACATCTCCCATATGTATCACCTGAGTCCAAACAATCCCAATTAACATGAGCTAGACCACTATCCACCAAGCTTCCTCAAGAAAAAAAAGAAAGTCCCAATTCGTGGCAAAATAATTACAGACAAAAGAGAACCACAGGACCAATACAATTTTGATCCCACAAGTATCCAATCCGCAGTTAAAACAAGAAAATTCAGATCAGTAAAATCACTCCTTGAAATAGACTTGAGACGTCACAAATAACCAGTCGAGCAAATGACAACTCTGAAACAATTATTACAATTTACTTAAAAAGAATCCCAATGCAGCAATTAGGCCCTTAGAGTAACCTGCAAATGAAAAACACCAAATCCCGCATAAAATATCAACTAAAAAACAACAAAAGAAATAACAACAGTAGCAACACGAAAAACAACAATAGCAACGGTTCAATCCCTAACTAGCTAAGGTCGACTATATGAATCAGCTATATCTGTTTTACTTTAATTAAACTTGTTTCATTACAATACTCAGTAATTTGTCTTTTAAGACAAATGGGGTCCTCTAAAACTAGTTCCGCAGCTCAACCTCCAATAAAACACCAAATTCCACAGAAAATATCAACACAAAAAAACAACAACAATAACAATGCTTCAAGCTAGGGTCAGCTATATAAATCCACGATAATCTATTCTATTTAGACCTATTTCCTTTAAAAGCTCAACAATCTGTCTTTTAAGACAAATGGGGTTATCTAAAGCTAAAAGAATTTTTAAAAAAGAAAAAATTCAACATGTAAATAGAGAAGAGAAAAATGGAGCAGAAAATGGCTCCAAAGTTTCAGCATTTCGAAATAAGATCTCAAATTCAGATCAGATCCATATGTAATTGCAAACAAAAGAAAATGACACTGCAACATATATAAGGTCCATTCGTGTTCTTAAAATGATAATTAACTGAGCAAATGATAAGGGTTTTTGGAGTACCAGGTAAATGTCTGATAAGTTGCGTGTGTAAATTTTGAGTGTCTATAATTCCGATATACTATATACATATGGGTTGAAGATGACTATGTAGAATTTGGATTCGCCATTGACAATTAGAGAGAGCATGAAAGAGAGACAGGGGACAGCTTTTTCTATAATGTAGGAACAAATATTTCTTTATACTTTTTTTTGTGTTATTTCATTTGTTTATGGCCTTTGCTTATTAATGATCATGCTATGTTGTTTTATTTTTTCTTTGATTTTCCGTTTGGTGTCCCAGCTAATTGGAATGCATGCCATAGAATTTTTACACTTAAACCTGATATTTCTAATTAAGAGGTGAAAGAATTATATACTATATTATGTCATTTTATTTGTTTATTCATGCACTCCTTTATCAATCTATATAACACTTTTCTTTTTCTCTTCTTTTTTATTTTTATAATAGTAGCGTTCAAGTTAACTCCGATATACATTGACTAATAAATTTTTTATTATAGACTTAGTTGAAATTAGAACATGAGTTTCTAAGTTGTCACTTTGGTTTTTTTGAGCCTATGTGGGTTAGGATCGAAATAATCAGGTGTCATGTGGAAGTTGGTAAGCAAATCTTGAACAACAATAAATCATACAATAAAAGAGAAATATACCAAAAGAGACACAAACATTTAACGTGGTATGATCAATTTGACCTACATCCACTGGTATAGATGAACAATCCACTGTATAAAAGAGAGTACAAAATATCGAGAGAACAACCTCACGAAGAGACAAACACAAGTGACACACTAACACTTGTCCCGAAAAGTTCTCCCCTAAACAAGACTCTCAAACCTCATATGGCTACATTGTTGATGATGCTGAATGAGAAGGAAGAATCCTCAATTCATAGGAATCAAAACTTTTTTCTACAAGAGAATAGACTAGTCAAATATTAAAGAATTATATTTTCCTTTTAGGAAAATAAAAATTCAATTATGATAAACATATTGCCCTTTACTTCAAAAGATAAGGAAAACCTAACAATGTGATATTTCAACTTATTTGTTTTAAATGTATGATATCGTGTTATTTAAATAATTTGTAACATGAATTTGGAGTTATTTAACTATTTAACTTTAGAGTATTTATCGAACTCAATTTAAAACAAAAATTGCATTAGTATGTTCTTCTGTCACTAAGTATTAGGCTACGGTAAATGAAGTTTATTTTCAATCAAATACTATATGGGAAAATCGCGAGAGTGAGCTTTACACAAATTCAACAAAATATAGAGAGATTCAAGTCCAGAGAAATAATGTTTCCAACTTTTTTGTTTTATGAGGCTTATCCTTTATAATATTACCAAAAGAGGAGTGTTTTAAATAACAAAATAGGACATGTGTTTCCCGGACTTCTACAATAGAGACTGTTTTTAGTCTTGAGAGTTGTTCATGACGTTTCCTTCAAAACATGTCAACTCTTTTGACTATTTCTTTTTCAATTTTTTCAAAAGGTAAAAAATTATTAAAAAATCTTTTTAAACTAAACGTCACTGGGGAAAAGTTTTTAAATTCTTGCAAATCTGAAAGCTACTTCAGAGTTTCCTTTAAGGTTTTGCGAAAACTAAAAAAAAAAATTAAAAAAAAAACTTTTCTTAACGTGAATCCAAGTTCTTTTGGAAAAAAAAAAATAGGTACAAATTTTCAACCAAAAAGGAAGAGAATAAAAATATATTTTTGAAAATAAAGGTACGAATTTGTACAAAATTGCCATATGCATTCTATACAAATTAGTACCAGTTTGACAAATAAATAGATTTTCTGATACTAGTAATTAGTTACTTGTACTATTGCAACAGGTGGATCCATATATTTTATTTACAAAAGGAAGAAAAGAAATGTAGAAGAAACGGCTAGTACAAGTACTAAATTTGAATGTAACGAGCTAGTGATGCCAAAGTGGGCAGTTTTGGATTTGTCATGTCGGCGTAACCAGAATTTCAAGTTTATGGGTTCATGATTAATTGTTTTAAGCTATTGAGTTCTAAATTAATAATTTATGTATATTCAATGAACTTTTCAAAACGAATATAGGATTCAAACCAAAGCTACTGAGTTCGGCCGAATTCGCTAGGAACACTCTAGCTCCGATCTTGGTTGTCCACGGCCTTAATGTTTCAGCTTACGAGTCATGTTTTTGAGATATGACGTCCTTTTTTTTCTTTCCTTTTTGCTATTTGATTTTTTATATTACTGTTAATAAGTAGTACTCCACTATTGTTATAATATGGTTGAATCTAACTAAAAATTTAGTAGATTAGTTAACATTAACTCATTGGCTCTAGTAACATTTTCAAGCGAAAAAACAAGGAAAAGATCATAATATGTTACTATATATTATTAATATTTATAGCCCGTTTGGACATAAAAAAAAATCCCCTTTTTAAAAAAAAATCATTTTTCCGAAATCAGTGTTTGTTCATAAAATTTTTAATTTTCACTTAAAGATGCATTTTGGAATTTTTTGAAAATTTGAAAAACTCCAAAAATTTATTTTTCGAAATTCACTCAAATCATTCACAAAACTTCAAAAACAACCCAAAATTATATTCATGTCCAAACATAACTCTAAATTTCAAATATCATTTTCACTTGAAAAAAAAATTTATATGGAATTTTACAGTTCTTATGTTCAAACGCCGCCTTAGGAACTTTAAATAGAAAAAAGTAAAAACTGTCTCTTTTTCCCAAAATTTGACCCGTACAAGTATTTGTCTCGTCCCTCTCAGCTCCTTCCTCCTTGTGCTTTTCTAATATTTACTCCCATAAATTTCATCAAAAGAACATAAAAGATTTCTAAAATTTTAACCATATTCTGGCTAGTCGTTTTCCTATTTGTATTCGTTTTTCCTTGCTCTTTGACTGCGACAGTTTATCGCATTATTCAACACTTTTTGGATAAAATACAGTTATGTCCAAATGAGAATTTTTCTTCTTTCCTAAAGTAGCAATAACATCTTCAATTTTTGTTGGCTACATATAAGCTTATTCCAACTCCATGTGATTTGCCATTGCTTTAGATGGGGGCATTGGTGAAACTAGGCCCCTCTGTCCTCAACTCTATTAATATACTTGTTGACTAAAACCGGAAGACCAAAAGGATTCAATAATGCTGTTTAGCCAGTCCACAAGATTTTTACTGTGGAGAGTTATAATATAATGAACCAAGCACACAAATTATTATTTTTTGTTAATCAGAGAAGTTTATTATTAAGCATGAAATTAATAAGTGTTAGTACAATATGTGAATGATCTTAACGATTCAGTCCCTATTTGCGAAATATTAAGAAAGTAAATAAAGGTGGTTCACTTAAAAATGAGTCTTCGTGCTCAGCATAATTGATGTGAGTCCCAAGTGCTCCCATATTTAGCTAATGTATGCACCACTAGGTTCCCTTCACGGTAGATGTGCCTAACGGCCGGTTGGTCCTTTTTGTCGACTAGGAATGTCTGAATTATTTTTATTTATACGCTATCCTTTCAAAGTTTTGTATCTTGAAGTGTGCGAAGAATGGAGCGGAATCAGAAGCTAAATGATAAACTCTTGTCCAGTTTACATGACTCTGTCTCACGGGACCCCAAAATTTAACATGTTAATTTAAATTTAAGCTATATTATTCATAGTGAAATAAAATATTAAATTAATGATTGAAAAGTTAAATTGATCGAGAAAAATTTGCATCAATATCAAATTTATATAACTTAGTAAATTTAAGTTGTTCTTTTCCAAAGTAAATTTAAGTTCGTGAAAATTGAAAATTTGTTCAATAGACAAGATCTCCGAAAATTAAAAGGAAAAGAAGTCAATACTAATAAAAGAACTAGAGTTGAAGGTAAGGAATAACAATTAAATTAAGGGCACGAAACGCTCTCGGGGCAGGTTGCTAATGTACGCATCCATGGGGAAAAGAGCTCGTGCTCCATCCCAGAAGGCTTTCCTAACTCAAGCAATGACATTGCACGGTCAATTTCAACAGAAGAAGGCTACAATTGAAGTCCAAGTAGCTGAAGGAAGCCATAAATCGAGGGTTGAAACAACACCAGTCATGAAGGAACAAGAAACCAATGGAACAGTACCATCTCCGGCAAATCATGGACAGAGGTTGTACAATGACCAAGCACTAGTCCTAAGTGGAGGAAGTTGAGGTAATGGAGGAAGAAGAGAAGAAGAAATCTGTGTGGGACAATTTTGACATCGGTAAGATCTCAAATGCATGATTTTTAAACTAGAATTTACCTCCCCAAAAGTACATGGTGATGCTACAATTTGTAAAATAGAAGTAGAAGATATAAGTTTGAAAATAGAGTACTTGAAAAATGCAGTTGTTTGCTATGTCCTTGGGGCTTTCCCACCTTTCAATATCTTAAATAGCTATATCCCGAGATCGCGAGGAAAATATGGCATAAACAAAGTCTCAACGTTGAGGAATGAAATTGTGCTGGCGAGATTTGATTCAGAAGTAGGAAAGAATGAGGTTATTGAAGGTGGAATATATCATTTTGATAACAAGCCCTTCATAGTCAAGGCTTGGACAACAGACATGGAGTTCGTGCATGAGGAGCTATACATTGTGTTTATCTGGATACGACTGCCAGGATTGGATTCTAACTATTGGAGTCCCAAAGGGTTGAGTAAAATAGGAAGTTTAGTAGGGAAACCTCTTATGGTTGATAAGAACATAAAAAGGAAGACTGGCTCAATTTTGCTCGCATGCTGATTGAGGTGGAATTGGAAGCACAAATGCCAGATATGGTTTGGTTCAGGGGTGATAAGGGAGCTCTGATTGAACAAAATGCTCTATATGACTGGAAAACCAAGCTTGTGCAAGTTTTGTAACAAGTATAGGCATAAATAGGAAGAGTGTAGGAGGAAAAGATCAGTTGCAGTTCCAACTGAAGCAAATCCAACAAATGTGGGGGAAAAGGAAGATGCACCAAAGAATGTTAAGCCTAAGCAAGCAGACACCAGGTCTAGCTTGTCAAGACAGACTGGAATACAACAACAACAAGAGGAAATTGTCAAAATTACCAAGCAAATAGATGGAAAACTAAAGAAAAAGGTGAATGCAGGGTTGATAACACCTATGCATCCAAGCAAACAACAGACACAACATTCAACAAGTT